GGAATGACATGACATTCGGTGTCCATGTCCATTTTTGGGGGGGGGGGGTGAACTAGTGCTTTATTGTTGCACAACACTAATACTCTGTTGTGTGTTCTAGTTAATCCCAGAAATCTCCTCTCTTTCGTGGTTCACCACCATTGTGCCTTTGGTGTTGGTGTTGGCTATCACAGCTGTCAAAGATGCTACTGATGACTATGTGAGGATCTATTCTTGTCCTGTTGATCTTTATGTCTCTGAATACTGAATTTACAAAGACAGGCCGCTGTCTGTGGGCTGCTGGAATTAAGCTGAACTGATGTTTGCTGTGATTGATCTGTTTTGGATTTCAGTTCCGCCATAAAAGTGATCAACAAGTCAACACCCGGCAGTCTCAGGTACTCATCAAAGGAAAGTAAGTGCATTTATGCCACGTATCAGCATTTTCTGCTCTATCTCTTGCTGTTGAGATACAATTATTGAACTACAAATGCTTTAAGAGATGTTTAGGAAATGAAAAATGATTTGTGATGGGACAAACCTAATTTGTTTCAGATTGCAGAATGAGAAATGGATGAATGTGCGAGTGGGTGATATCATCAAACTTGAGAACAATCAGTTTGTTGCTGTAAGTTTGAATCTTTTCCTCATTTACTACAACCAAACAGGCCAACTTTAATATAGCTAAAATAATAAATATAGCAGATATGGTAGTCACATCATGCTAGTTGTACTAACCACATATCAGTCCAAAGGTTATGAGCAGATTTAACCCTAATTTACAATATATTTGTCAAAAACTGCTCTGATACTGATTAATTTCAATAGGTGAAAACATTGTCAAGATCTAGATTAATTTCTTGATGGATGTCTTTAAGGTCAAACTCATTAGTTTCTGTTTCATTATTTATTTATTTATTTATTTTGGAATGAAATAATTCTAATGATAAAAGCTGGTCTAAAAATAATTTTTATTATTTAATTTTAATTAATTTATTTATTTGTTTATTAATTTTTTATTAATTTATTCATGTATGTACTTACTTTGAAAAACAAATTAGGAATGTACCAGTTTAAAATTAAATTCTGGTTGATACAGTAAGCCAGTAATTATTTTCATGTTATGGCCTATAACTGATAAAGTATACTATTATACTATTTTGTCTTCATAAATTGATAATAAAAAATTTTTTATAATAAAAAAATATATATATCCATCCATCCATCCATCCATATATATATATTTATTTGACCCTCTAACTCTAACAATTTCGATTCTATTTTAATTCTACTTTATCTATATTTATCTTCTTTTTTTCTTTTTTCTTTTTTTATAAAAAAAAACAACAAAAAACAAACACTATCTTTCTATTTTTTCTATTCTATCTACTTTAGGCTAACCGAGACTTGTCATTTGCACTTATATATTGTTGCTCTTTTGTTTGTTTTGACTGCTTTTATTGTCCTCATTTGTAAGTCGCTTTGGATAAAAGCATCTGCTAAATGACTAAATGTAAATGTAAATATATATATACAATTTTCCCCCCTAAAATCTAGGAAGGTAAAAAAAAATTATCAGACAGAACCTGTGTTAATAAAATTGTAGAATTCCAAAAGATTATTATTTTTTTTTTAGTTTTTGTGGTTTAGGCTTTTTTTTTTTTTTTTTTTTTTTTTTTTTTTTTTTTTTAACATTTGAAATAATTCTGATGCCCCCTAGTGGGCTCCGGTCCCCCTAGTGGGCTCTGGTTGAAAGTTCAACAGTTATTAGCAGAAATGTAATTGAAAAAATTTTGGTCTTGGACAGGTAGATCTCGAAATTGCTATCAAGAATGTTCAGACTTTCCCCAGTCACTGCAAGAAATTTAACCAAATTCACCAAACTTCTTACCATATGGTTGATTTGGCTCTAAGCGCAACTTTAGTCCCTAAATATAACAACCATACCATCAAACTGATGCAAAAAGCATAGACAAAACTATTACATTGCATGGATTTGGATGATCCCAGTATGACTAGCATTATCTGTGACTTTAGCAGGCGAAAGCACTGTATGGTGAAGAATTATCTGGAGTAGATTCATCTAGCACACACGATTTTGAGCATCTCCTCTCTCTGCTGTCTACAGGCTGACCTTCTCCTCCTCTCTAGCAGTGAGCCCTATGGACTGTGCTATATCGAGACTGCAGAGCTTGATGGGTGAGAAGTTTACTGTGAAATGTGTAGCGCCGCTAATATCGCCTTGCATGTTCAACATCCAGCACACACATCTCAGATTCGATTTTGTGACTGTATAGCAGCGAGAGCTTGACGTGAACATGAGCTTCTTTCATGCTATCGACTCTTTCCAACAGAGAGACCAACCTGAAGGTGCGCCAAGCCTTGACTGTAACCTCAGACCTCGGGGACGATGTTGCGAAGCTTGCAGACTTCAATGGTAAAGCTTTTATTCAAACACACGATTAGGGCACCATCAACAGAAATGAACTTGAGTCAACATGATGGTAAAACTAACGACATTATTAACTGTCTTGATATTTACTTTGAAAGCTTGAAGCTCACGATTATGGTAAGGGGCGTTACATTTCCGACGCGTGCTTGTGGTGTTCGGCCAATCACAATGCACTGGGTCAGCTGGCCAATCAGAGCAGACTGTGCTTGTCAAAGGAGGGGGCTTTGTTGAAAACGACATGTTTGAGAGAGGCGGGGCATAGAGGACCTACAATAATGTACAGTATTTGAAAAATAATGTGTTTTTTTGAACATTAAAGCATGTCAACATATTCTGTTACACCAAATACACAAAATAATGATCTTTAAAATAGCATCATATGACCCTTTTAATAGCAGAATATATAGAGACTTTTGGTGGACTTTTTTCAACTAAATGAACTAGTGGAACTAATGTTATTTTAGTATTATTTATATAATGTTATAGTATTTAATAATGTTTTAAATAAGCTTTTTATATTATATTTTGGCTTTTATTTATTTTATTTATTTTTTAGAAATGGGGTAAAATTTGCTATGTAGCTTCGTCATTTTTATTAGTATTTTTTTGTAAATATATTTCTGTTTAGCTTTAACTTGTTTTTATTTCAGTTTTAGTTTCAGTAATTTTAGTATTTAAACTTAAAATGATTTTATTTCATATAATGCTGTTGGGCTTTTAATGCTTTGACATATTTATATAATGTATTTTTATAATGTATTTAAAACATAGAGTAGTTGTTACACTAAGTGGTTCTTTTTGTTGAAATGATGACCTTTCCCACACGGATAATCTGCAGCGAGTTGTTATCCGCTAGCTGGTTTGCGTTTATACGGCTGGGTTTTGTCACAAATTTCACAATTCGATTTGATTATCCTTCACAAGCTTTCGATTTGATTCGATTCAATATTGATTATTTTGGATATATATCGGGTACAGGACAAGGCAAATTTTCTCAAGGAAAAAAACATCTCTCAACTAATGCTGTAAAATATACCTGAGAGTCAATAAAATGGAAGGTTGAAATTTGCTGATTTGTATACAAACACTTAAAATATACTCAAAGTTTTTGTAATATTAAAGTTATAATACTAACTTTAACTTTAAATTACATAATTATATTTCGACTCCAATTCATGTTTTGAAATATAAACATTTAAATGGTGGTTGTCACTTTGACGAATCTTGACGAATTTATTCAAACATAAATATTGAAGAACACTAAAAAATTATAATAAATATGTCATATGGTGCACATATTTATCAAAATGCTCCTCTCTAGAGTTCATTTTTCTAGCTGACTAATGAGTTTATGGTCACCGAATATGTTTTTTCTGTGGTAAATGTGCCTTTACGTGACATATTGTTTTTGTTTACAAGCTATTATCGTCTTTCCGCGTTTGAAACACTGATTGAGCCATTACATGAGACAGGATACAGATTTCGGTAAATTGTACTCTTTCTTTTAACACACCTTCGGATGTTCATTCATGTTTATTTCATGCTGTAACTGCTATTAAAGCGGAGGAGACGATCAGTTCATGCTGCCGCTTCTAACCGAGGCGCTACAGCGATCTGTCACTCCACATTAAACAGCGCCAAAACGGCATTTAATATTTGAATATTGTAATAAATATGGACAGAATTTGAAATCTGAGACTTTGTTTCATATCAAAAGTAACAAATCACAAAGCTTATTGCAATTTATTGGATGAGAGGCACGCTACAATTTTCCGTTCATTATCTGGCAGACTAGACTAATCGATTCTTGGGATTTATAAATCGATATTGTTTCATAAAAATGAGAATCGGTTAAAATCGAGAAATCTATATTTTTTACCCAGCCCTAGTTTATACGCATCATCAGTCTTTTAGGATGGCGTACCAATAGGCGAAAATGTCAGGCTAGATGCATGTAACAATGAAAAGCCGAAGCTATTGATGAACCAAAAATAACTGAACACTATATGCTTCTGAATGAATGTCAGCGTCATCTTCCAGTTACGTGTTGTCTTTGAATGTGTTTCCCAGAGGAAGTCATCTGTGAGCCGCCCAACAACAAACTAGACAAGTTCACAGGGATTCTGTACTGGAAAGATAACAAGTACCCACTGGACAACGAGAAAATGCTCCTGAGAGGCTGCGTTCTCCGTAACACTGAGTGGTGTTTCGGCTTGGTTATCTTCGCAGGTACATCTCTTCAATTTTCCTCCGTTAATTGTCCTAGCAGAATGGCATTTTCACGGATGACTGGTTAGCTGTCTTGAGTAGATGTTCCTCAGAGACATGCTGAATGCCTCATCTGTAATTAACGTTATTAACTATGCTCAGCTCCTAACGCACACTATTATCTGTCCTGAGATGAGCTACGTTCTGTGAGTCTTCTGGGTTTTGTGCTTCTCCGTCAGGACTTCAAACCAAGCTGATGCAAAACTGTGGGAGGACGACGTTCAAACGGACCAGCATCGATAAACTGATGAACACCTTAGTTCTGTGGGTGAGTGTGTGAGCGGCATGCTGGGAATGATCGACATGTGGCATCTCACTTACTCATGCCGCCAGCCTTTCAAAAGGGCAGTTCATTTTGTTATTGTAAAGGGTTTTGCATGTGTTAAGAAGACAAAATATGATTAAATGTTTCTTGTTTTTTTTCCAGATCTTTGGATTTCTCATCTGTATGGGGATTATATTGGCTATTGGAAACACTATTTGGGAGCAGAAAGTAGGCAGCAACTTTTGGGAGTATCTTCAGTGGAAGGAACTCACCATTAATGCAGTCTTCTCTGGCTTCCTGACCTTCTGGTCCTACGTTATCATCCTTAACACTGTCGTACCCATCTCACTATATGTTAGGTAGGTCAGATTACACAATGTGTTGGCAAACTAGTTTGGTTCAGGACCCAGATTTTACATTGACCATCAAGTGGCAACCCAATATCATTTGCTTAAAAAAATGTTGATGAAAAATTTCCCTTAAATCAGACATTGTATATGTGCTATGCATGGAAGCCCATTTCCACCACATAAGAAAAAAAAGCTTTGGTAAATCATAATGGTTAATAACTTAAAAAGTCAAAAACATGTAAATGTTAAAATGGTAAAATGTTGTATGACTTTTTGATGTCACAATTATGGCTTTTTATGTCATAAGTTCTGCTTTTTATCTTATAATTATGACTTAACCTCTCATCATTTCAACTTCTTATCTGATAATTATGACTTGGTGTATCAAAATTACGAGATTATGACATAAAAGTCTATTATGAAAATTTAAATGATTAGATAAAAAGTCTAATTCTAAAAGTCTAAGTCTAAATTATGACATTAAAAGCCATAATAATTGTTTCAATTTTTAATGTAATAATTATGACTTACTAAAGCATAATTATGAAATAAGAGTCTAAATTATTAGATAGAATTTCATGTTGACATCTTTAATGCAATAATTAATGCATTTATATATCTTTAATGCAATAATATATGTATCTCATAATTACAATTTTTGTCATAATTTCAACTTTCATAATTGACTGTCATAATTATGACTTATCTCATATTGTCAACTTCTGTCATAATTTCAACATTCATATTTGACTTTTATGTCATAGTTATGACTATTTATCTCATATTTTTGAATTTCTATGTAATAATTTAGTTCACTTAATATGTGATCATTTTGATCTTTATCTCATAACTGTGTCTTAGTATCTCATTATTTCAACTTTTTTTGTCACTCTTTATTCTCAATATTATAATTTACCAAAGCATGATTTTTTCTTATGTGGCTTCTTATGTTTTTCTAATATGCTTCCATAGGTTATGAGCCCTGAACTGCAAGGTAAAATGTTCTAATTTTTAGCTTGTAAACTATTTTTTTCATGTGTTGACTGGAGAATATATGGAGAAAAAATTATAGAGAACATGTATAGAGGGGATTGACAACAAATTTACACAACACCTTTGTATTATACATATGAATGAAAAAGAAAAAAACAACACTTTTTCACTTTTTTTTTCCACTTTGCAGTTCAGGGTTTTCATAAAACACCTAATATAAGTCTTTGTCAATAACATGAAACGTATTATATTACAGCGTAGAAGTTTTGCGGCTGGGCCATAGTTACTTTATAAACTGGGACAGACGAATGTACTACAGCCGTAAGGACACTCCTGCTGAGGCGCGGACCACCACCCTCAACGAGGAGCTGGGCCAGGTGGAGTTCATCTTCTCAGACAAAACAGGCACCCTCACCCAGAACATCATGGTGTTTAATAAGTGCTCCATCAATGGGAAGACCTACGGTACGCTTGAACACTTCCTGTTATACATCCACACTTATAGACAAGTGGGTATATTTATTGATGGCTGTGCTTTTGTTTGTCTAGGTGATGTTTATGATGAGTTTGGGCATAAAGTGGATATTACAGAGGTAATGAAACCAATTGTAAATTATGTAAATGAATAATAATACATTATTATTATTACAATTGAAAAAGCATAAAAATATTATTCTAAAAAAAATTTTTGTTGTTATATATTAGAATGTAAAAAATAATTTTAAAAAGCAGACATTGTTCAGTCTGGTGCAGTATTTAGCAGTCACGCTTGTCTCTGACTCTTGCAGAAAACACCATGTGTAGATTTCTCCTTCAACCCACTGATGGACCGGAAATTCCGTTTCCATGACAGCAGCTTGGTCGAGGCCATCAAGCTGGAAGAGCCTCTGGTGCAGGAATTCTTCCGTCTGTTAGCGCTCTGCCACACCGTCATGCCAGAAGAACGAAATGAGGGTAAACTGGACTGTAAACACCTTAAATATCTTTATATCCCAGTAGCGCTTTTACGCTATTTATATGCAGAAGAAGAATTGTCTGAAATGCCTCTGAACTGAATTGTTCAAGGGGAGCTGGTGTATCAGGCACAATCTCCGGATGAAGGAGCCCTGGTTACTGCTGCGCGTAACTTTGGCTTCGTATTTCGGTCCAGAACGCCAGAAACCATCACTTTATATGAGATGGGTCAAGCGGTCACCTATCAGCTGCTGGCCATCTTAGACTTCAACAATGTACGGAAGAGAATGAGCGTTATTGGTAGGTTCTGATTGTATTTTTCATCTGTTATTAGTTGTATTATGGGATATTTTAAGCATGTCTTTTCATTTTAAACACATTCACAGTCTAGTATTTTAATATTTCACCTTTAATATTTCACAAAAGCTATGAATCATCCCTGATGTATCTCTTTTTATGGGTCTGTATGCATAATTCATCCTTTCACATAGAGGAATCAATAGCTGTCTGGTCTGGTGAAACTGTTTTATTGTATACTAAGACATTTATAAGTAGCACTCTCATTTCCTGTCTCTTCCGCAGTGAGGAACCCAAAGGGGCAGTTAAAGCTTTACTCAAAAGGAGCCGACACAATACTCTTCGACAGGCTGGACCCGTCTAATGAAGAGCTTATGTTTACTACCTCAGAGCACCTTAATGTAAGTCTCTATTGCTAAGCCATCCTTCCCTTCCCATGGTAAAACCATGTTTTTATATGTATATGCCCAAAAGACCTGGTATTACCAGAGTAAATGCCTCAAAACATGGTACTGTGGCAAAACTATATTATTTGGATGCAGTACTGTGGTAAAGCCATGTTTTTTGGATGTTGTACCATGGAAAGACCATGTTTTGAGGCATTTACTCTGGTAATACCAGGTTTTTTGGGCATATACTGGAGTAATATCATGTTATTAGGATGCAGCACTATTTTAAAACTGTTTTTTGCTCACATACTTTGATAATACAATGTTATTTGGACACAGTATCATTGTAAAACCTTGTTGTTTGATATTTACCATGGAAATATCTTGTTTTGTCCAAGTGTTCTGTGGTAAAACTATGTAATTTGGATGCAGTGCCATGATAAAACTATGTTGTTTGACATTTACCATGGTAATACAATGTTTCTGGATGTGATACCATAGAAAGACCATGTTTTTAGGCATTTACCATGGTAATCCCATGGTTTTTGGGTATATAATGTAGTAATATTATGTTATTTGGATGCAGCACGATGTAAAACCATGTTTTTACTCATGTACTGTGATAATACAATGTTATTTGGACCCAGTACCGTTATTTAGCATTTATTGTGGAAATGTCTTGTTTCCATATGTACTACTATAGGTAATACTATGTTATTTGGTTGCTTTACCATGGTAAAACTATGTTGTTTGGCATTTACCATGATAATACCATGCTATGGATGCGATACCATGGAAAGACCATGTTTTGAGGCATTAACCATGGTAATACCATGTTTTGGGCATGTACAATAGTAATGCCATGTTATTTTAATGCATTACCATGGTAAAAACCATTCTGTTTGGCATTCACTATGTAATTTGAATGTGATACCATGGTAAGACCACGTTGTAGGCTATTTACAATGGTAATACCAAGTTTTTTGGGCATGTATAACATGTTATTTTGATGTTTGATGTTTAACGTGGTGATACTGTGTTATTTGGATGCAATACCATAGCAAACTCATGTTTTGGGGCCTTTATCATAATAATACTATTTTACCATAATAATTTCATGATATTCTATGCACTTTATGAAGTTTGATGTAAACCTTGGTATAGGCCCACTTTGGCCTAATTCAGGTATCAGTTAAACAGGTAGTGCTGAAAGCACTAGTGGAAAACCCTTCACCCTCGTGCTTGACCGAGAACAGAATAACAAAGTTGTCACCTTGTTACTCATGACGTGTCTTCAACTATAATAAGCATATATGCGCTATATCGGCAGGTGAATTCCGCTAGCGAGTGCTGGATTTACAGATAATTTGGATTTAAGGTGAGTATTTTATTCAACATGGACACACTTAGACGTTCTATGTGCCTTAAAGGGGTCATATGATGCGATTTTAAGTTTTCCTTTCTCTTTGGAGTGTTACAAGCTGTTCGTGAATAGATAAGATCCCTAAAGTTGCAAAGACTAAAGTCTCAAACTCAAAGAGATATTCTTTATAAAAGTTAAGACTCGTCCACGCCCTCCTAAAACGCCTCGTTTAAACACGCCCCCACATGTCTACGTCACTGTGTGGGAAGATTAGCATAACGCCGCCCATATGTTCATGCAAAGAAAGAAGGAGTAACTTTGATTCTTGCTGTAGTATTTTTGCTGTTGCCGCTGCCATGTCGTGGAGATGCTGTGTTTTGTTGCGAAAGCGAAACTACTTTGTTTGGCCTTCCAAAAGAGGACAC